GTGGCGCAATTTATTCAATTCCCTGTCAAGGTTGTGACAAAAGCTACATCGGAGAAACGAAACGAAAATTTTCCACCCGGCTCAAAGAACATCAAAAAGTGGTTGTAAACAAACACTCGCACAAGTCAGCTTTAGCGGAACATTGTTTACACTCTGGCCACACCATCTCCTGGGAATCTTCAAAGATCTTATGTACAAGCACAAATTGGCACAACAGACGTATTTTGGAAGCATGGGAAATTAACACTTGTAGGAATCCGCTGAACCATGATGATGGTATGCATTTGCGGCACAAATTTTTAAATTTAGCCCTAAGGGACAGAACATAATTAGCTCCAATTTGCCGATTTGCATAGTATAAGAACGTGCCTTTTCAACAAATTCCTTGTCACTTTCCCTTGATGAAGGCTGAAGTTTTAGCCGAAATGTTGGGACTTTTACAAAAAGAATTTTTACTAACATTTTTACATTTTTAAACCAGAGTAACGTTTTTCAATCATATATCAGCAAGTTCCATGTGGTGAGACGAGACTGTGTCAACTTCTTGATGCAACCAACCTGGGTTGACTTTTTGGTCATTCAGTAACCTAAGTAGATTGAGATGCACTGCAGTCATAAATTGTAAGCTTAAGTTTACGCTTATGGAAGCTTTTAGAAGACAAGGTATGCATTATTCTCTGTAAAAACATAAGGTTACTTGAGAGAACTGGAAAAAAGCTTCTAATTTTGTGGATTGTAAACTTTGCAAATCACTTGTATCTTTGTCTCTCCATTTCCTTTCTCTTTTGCACTGTAAATTTGTCCTACTTTCTTCATTGCTTTTGCTTGTACAAGTAAAGGCGGTAACCCAAGCTGACATGTGCTTTGGAAAATTACATTCCTGATTCACATGATATTCACATGAAATTCACATGACCATGGACCTTGAACTCAACACCAGGGCCTTTGCTCTGCTCTTTGCTCACATACCATTCACTCCAGTTGGAAGAACAAAGGAATGCCAAGAATGTCCCCACATTTTGCTTCAAGTTGGCTCTAGTGCTCTTTATGCGTTAAGAAAGTGCTGCTGACCACTGATGTAGAGATTAGTCTGGGGGCTGGCTTTTGCTCGCCTACAATCACTGTGAAAAAAGGAAGTGTCATACAATAGAGAATTACAAAAATTAGTGTTGCATCTTTCAAAAAAGTATAACAGATGAACAAGCAACTAAAAAGAACTATTACATAAAATCTATGAATTACAGCAATACACACACACACAAAAGAATTAAACAGAAGAAGCCCTAAAATTAGTTAGGTTTCAGATCTTATTGTCTATGTCAGTCTTGTTTTTCAAACATTAAGATAGATTGTAAAACAGAAAGGATCTTCATTTGTTTTGAAGTTTACCTATTTTATTTTCCATCAATCTTCTTGCTCCATTGGTTGGTCTGCTGTTGTCTAAAGGAGTCTAACCAGTGTCCTTTCCAGAGGACGCAGGTATGAATCCAAGCACCTCTGTACATGGCCCACACATAGCAGTTTTTTGACATTTCCATTTCCATAGACAGCTACTGGTAATGACCCCTGTGTCCTGTGCTCTCACCATTCCAAGGAACTCCACCATGGTTCTCAACAGACCTTTGAAAAATGTTTAGAATTCCAGAAGCATCCACGATCCTGAAGACCTTTCAAAATTAGCATGACATTCAGGTTGATGGAACTCTCTGGCCCATGAAATTCTGGTGATTTCTCTTTCCCCCTGCATTGTACACACTGCCTGCACTCTTTGGAAATGACTTCTTCATCCGTAGCCATTCCTCTGTCTCTGGAAGGTGCTGTCACCGTGCCATATGACAAGGAAAAACCTCTCTCTTATCATGTCCCATCACCTGACTTATTAATATCATAGACTTCTTCTTCACTGGCTCATAAACTTTGTTTCCTCATTTGCTGCTTTAGTCTTACTTTCTTTAACAGCAGATGCAGTTGCATTTTTAGTCTTTCAAGTACATCCCTTCAAAATTCATTCTGGAAACAATATCTTAGGCAGATTCAATGTTTAAATTTTTACATTCAGCTTGTTTGTTTCTTCAACAACAATAACAACAACAGCGACATCTTTATTATTACTCGTACCCAACGTTTTTAATATAGAGTGAGTATGTGACTGCTTGAAATAAGCTTAATGGGTTAATTAAGACTGAGCAGCTATCCTTAGTGATTACGGCAATTATTTATTAGGGTCAGGTACTAGAAGAGAAAATAGCTATAGGTTTTTTTTTTTTTTTTAGTATTTTCTTCTAATTTAACTCGTTTTTGTTATGTCCCCGTATTAGTAGGGGAGTTTTTCCCCAGCTAGGTGGTTGATGACATTCTTAATAAAGTTTCTATCTATCTATAATAAAAAGACACATGCATTGCAACAGGACACAAAGCACACACAAAAAAGACTAAGTTGGGCTATCACTTTTCAGGCAAAGAATTGGTCCATTACAAATGAATACCCATATAAAAAATATCAAGCATGACTGTGTTAAGAGCATAATATATATCATGGATCCTAAATGTAAGAGATGGTCTTACTTGTCTTAGGAAATTTAACTCATTTCATTGCTATTTTATTACGCTGACTAAAAAAATGTACTTTCACTTGCAACTCATGCTTCCAGTTTTGGTGCTGAAGTTTTTTTGAGAGACATCTATTGTAGTTCATTATTTCTGTAACATTGGGACTATTTGCCTTCATTTCATCCCATACTTGATCAAAATTAGAGCCTAGTTGCCCTTGCCATATTTACCACTGAACCATCAGAATGCTTACAAAGACTTCCACTGGTAGTCTTTACCTGATACCTTTTTGAACTTTTAATGGAAATAAGAAAACTTGGTTAATGGTGGCTTGTAATGTTTGCTGTGTCAGTTGATTGCTTTAACGTTAACCCTTGCATTTTTGCTGCTGATTGCTACCAAAGAAGTGGTTCAGGGTTGGGACGTGGCGTCAAAGGCATTCCTTCTGATGATTTTGGTAGAAGAATGCTGGTGGTGTAGGCTCAATTTTTTACTTCTCAATAGGCTCAATTGTGGGCTCAATTATTACTTCTCTCTTGAGTGCACTTACTGATAAGGTGGTAAATACAGACATTCTTGCAGTAGTTGGGATACACTTTGGTTGCGGCTGAGTAGAGGGTAATAGTTCCACACAACAATTAACCAAGTAATCAGTTTGGTCAAGTTCATTTTGAACAGCCCGAACTCTTTCTGTGAAGTTGAACATTTTGTACACAAAACTTCATGCTTTTGGCAAATTACTTTCCAACCTGTTCACTTGCAGGAATATCTAAAGGCCTGTTTTAAAACAAAGCATGTACTTCATGAGAAGTGGCTTAGGAATACCTCCTAAGTGGTTTATCATGCTAGGCTGATGATCAGTAGTAATGTAGCTGCCTTCTGCAAATTTGCATAACAGCTTATTCCTGAACTGCACATGAAGCTGATTTATGATTGCAATGTTGAGGAGGATTAAAGGTACAATCTGCAAGTACCAATTAAAAGCTGTGTACAATCCCATATAATCCTAATTACAGTTTATAAGTGTGTTTAAAAAGATGCACCTTGACTTTTGACTTAAATGAAGTGAGTGAGCTGCATATCCTTAATTGATCAGGTAGAGCATTCCACAGTCTGGGTGCAATGTGTGAAAATGCTCTATATTCATATGATAAGATAGAATTTAGGCTGGAGGAGAAGTCCCTTATTTGTAGATTGCAATGTTCTGGAAGGATTGTACGGAGTCAGAAGTTCCTTTAGGTCATTCAATACTTCAAAAGAAAGAGGAAAGGTAACAGGGAGTTGGCTCTATGTAGCCATGGCTCCCTGACCAGCAATGCCTTTGCCCCCAGGCCAATCCTGAGAGGGGGTGTGATTGCCTGCATGCCCAGGTTTTCAGATAATTTTCCAATGCAGGGTGTCCATAAGGAATTCCAATGGGTCAATTACTAAATCACTATAAATTTTGTATTAATATGTTGGGTCATGTAGCTGACTTTGTCGCATTTTTGACCCAAGACCCCTCACTTATCTAGAACGTTGATGGCCTACCATTTACCTTGTGGCTGCATATATCAGAAAACTGCACTTAAAGAGAGAGCAGCTGTTACCTTGAGAAGAATCCCAACAAACTTACCCTAGTTGTGAAATTGGCAAAATTGGGCCTAAGATGGATTTACTTGGAGGTAACCTAGAAGCTGATGTTAAGGCATGGAGGTGTAATTGTAATGTGTCTGCTTGTGCTGAAATTCGTCACAAGGCTGTCAATAAGGGCCGTAACACCTGCTAAGGCTGAGTATTTACCCTTGATGTTATGGGTCTTTAGTTGATACAGTTCACCCAAAAGTAACAAGTTTGTAACGGCTGTGAAGATCAGGGCTGCAGGTGAATCAATACTTAATGATAGCCTTGTTTCATGTGCCAATGTTGTGTTGGTGCAGTAAATTGACACATCTGTTTGACAACTGCACATCAGTCACTACTTGGGAAATGCACACGGTGACTGTGGTTTGAACAAGTATGATACTAGTCGTAGATGGTGAAAACTAAGGGTGACAAACAAAGAAAACAAAAAGGAAAAACAAAATTTACTTAAATTCTGTGTCCATACAAAGGTTGAAAGGAAGACATTTGCTTAGATTGAAACACTGCAAAACACATGTGAAAACATTCCTGTGTTGTGGCCATGTGACCAGTGCTCACTGAGTAGTATGTGGGGAATTAGCTGGATACTGGCAAATTTAGGGCACTTTCCATTCGACCAAAAATTCTGAGATTTCCGGTCCGAAATTGAATGGAACGGTAAAAATTCCGGGAAAAGTTTTCGAAAATTTAGGAATACGTTTTGAGTGCACCCTCTTTGATAGAATTTCCGGAATTATCGAAAATTTTGTGTTCCATTCGCAAGAGATGTCGGGTTTAGTCTCCCTACCGAGTGTGAGTTCACGTGGATACTTGGAAAAGCAATAATCGCGGGCGGAGCAGCATATCAATGCTCAGCGTGTGGCTTTGTGTGGAATGATTTCAGTCTTTTTCTGCAGCATCAATGTAGCAATTTGTTTCCTTCAACCAGCAATGGTATGTTACTGCTTTAGTTACGCTTTTGTATCTTCTTGAATTACGCTAACTTCGACTTTCGCTTGTCAGTAGTTCTGCTCCCGCCGTTTTGCCATTTTGTTAAATCAAGTTAGCACAAAGCAGGCAACTGCAGCCAGAAGTATTACGTTGTTGATGCTATTGAGAATGGCACAACTTATTGTTTCACAGTCAGCCTGCCCTAAAGCTGCAAAAATGTTCGAAAAGTCCACCATTTTCAAACACTACAAAGTTTCACCCAGCATGCCCTGTGTTGCAGAGCACATGACCTCGAATTCTGGGAAGCGCTCGGATGCGTTCCATTCGACCAGCGAAAATTCCGAGAATTTGAACCGGTGATTTTTGTTGAATGGAAAGCGCCCTTAGACAGCAAATTTAGCCCTCTTTCTGCGACAAAAGAGGTCGAAATTTGCTAGTTTCGTCAGTGTTTTCCAAACCACCAGGATGAAATTGTCAATCACTACCAAACTCTAGAAACTCAACAGTGGAAGGTACAAGAGCACTCTGAGCAGCTGGCTACTGCATTACCAAGAAATGGGAGTGTGAAGATCAAAAAGTGGGAGAATTTCTGCCAAAACAGGATACAGGAACTTACCCTCACACCATCTTCTATGATTTTGAATCGTTTCATGACAAAGAAAAGCAAAGGGAGGTCACAGCATTGCTCAGGTATGAAAACGCTCATGTCCCAATCTCGGTTAGCGTTGGTGAAACTCTTCAGAGCTGATCTGAATGTTTATGGAAGACCTAGAGAGGTGCAGGAAAAACATTTGGGCCTTGGTAACAGTGGAGTTCATGCCAGAAGACATTGACATGGTTCCAGGAAAGCAGCGGAAAGCCATAGTGGAATGGTGCAATCAGGTGCCTGTTCTCAGTTTCAACTGCTGATGTTATGACCTGAATCTGATCAAAGAGCATTTCGCAGAGCTGTTGGCTGACACAACGGCCAAGGTCCAAGTAGGAAAGAAGGCAAACATGACGATGTTCATGGAGACAAAGGGCTTCTGCTTTGTTGATATTATCAACTATCTCAGCTGGGGTACCAGCTACAAAAAGTGGGTAAAAGCATATGGCTGTTCTGCTCAGAAATCAGGGTTTCCCTATGAGTGGTTCGATAGCCCTGAATTATCCTGCGCTACCTGATTACTTGGCATGGTATTCACGTTTGAAGGGTGGATATGTCCTCAGTCTTTCAGAATACCAAGAATGCAAGAAATGCAAACGTCTCGGCAAATTTTTATGAGAAGGAGGAAGTGTGTTAGAGTAAAAGGGGAAGTTCAAACGGCTGCTAAACTTCTTAACCTCCAACCTTGTTAACTTAGCTTTCACATTTTGCTGTTTACTGGATCCGGGTACAGGATTTTCAGTTTGAGTTGGAGGAGCAACATTTATAGCTTTTGGGTGTGCAGCACTGATAGGACTTAACACTTCTCTCCTTAGAACTACTTGGGTTAACTCCTCTCTCACTTGGTGGCTGTCTTCAATCTCTTTTTCAATGCGTGCCTTGACATCTTCAGACTCTGAACTTCCTAATAACTCAGTGGTTTGATTATTGCATTCGACCTTTTCTCTCAGGGTGTGCAGACTGTTTAGTCCATCTTTTGTCTTCAGCTGTGCTCCCATCATCCAGTCTCTGTTTACTCTTACTCACTAGGTTTGTGGCCGAACTTCTATGGCCTGCTTGGATTCTTCATTTCTTCTCAATCTCTGCCATCTCTGCCATGGGAAAGCTCCCTTGCAAACAATCAACCTTAAACAATCTTGACTGGTTGCTGTTAGCCCAGCACTAATCCAGCAGAATGTCTATGATCATACTTAAGTTGGACTGTATCCTTTAGTTTATTCCTGCAAATTTCATTTTGTGATCTACAAGTTCACCTTATGACGTCTTATGACGTCCTTAAGACAAAAAATGTTCAGCAACAATTTATCTTTAATTCTAGACTTTAACTACAGCAAACGGTTAATCATGAAGTGAACTGAAGCACGAGAAACATTGCACAAGTCTGAAAAATGTCATTGTTCACACTAAAATACAATGTTACCTGGCAAAAAAATGGCAAAAAAACACTCAAATACTAGCTAAATCCTACTAAAATGCAAAAGCATCAATAAATATGTCTATGTACAATAAAATAGATTTCAAGTAATGCCTCAAGTCCTGGTTATTGCAAAGTAAACGAAGCAAATGTTCAATACCTGAAATTTGAATTGCGCACGCTTGTGGCGCTTAGCTTAGGTCACCAATGTGATTCGGGAAGCATTCCAAGCAAACCTGCTTGTTGCAGTGCTGGCAACCCATTCTGCAAAACGTTGTCCTCTTTCGTTTGAGGCATCGTTTGCATCGTCCTTTATCAAAAGCAATCGGCCAATGTCCAGCCTCCATCTGCCCAGAACTTGCTGTTCTTCCACGGCTCGTGAAATCCCCGATAAGGTCCTTTGCAAGTTCAACTCTAAATGTTAGCTGTGTTCTTGAATGATGATTTACGGCCTTTTTCTCCAAGATA